GCGAATTCACAGGAGAGAAGCCTTATGAATGTAATGCATGCAGAAAATCCTACTCTGTGAAGCCATACCTTTGTCAGTATGAGATAATTAATCCATATAGGGGAGAAAGTTGACTATGTAATAAATGTGGGAAATTCATCTGATATAAATCAGCCTTTACCATTTCACCCCACCACTAATGGCAAAGTTCAACAAGACAGAAAATGGCGGATGCTGGCAAGGATGTGGAGAGATTGGGACTCACATGCACTGCTGGTGGGACTGTAAAATGATACAACCACTGTGGAAAACAGTATGACTATTCCTTAAAAAGCTAGAATTAGAAATACCATTTGACCCTGCAATCTCATAACTAGGTATATATCCTAAAGAACTGAGAGCCAGGAGAAGAACCAATATATGCACACCTGTGTTCATTGCAGCACTATTGACAATAGCAAAAAAATGAAACAACCTATGTGCACATCAACAGAATGGATAACCAAACTGTGGTATATAAGCACAATGGAATATTATGCAACCCTAAAGAATAATGTAGAATCTGCAAAACACCACATAATATGGATGAACTTGGGGGACATTATGCTGAGTGAAAGTCAATCACAGATGGACAAATATAGTATTAGTTCATTATTGTAAAAAGGCAAGGACAGGTTTATATATATGGAAGGGAATTTTCTTTGTTTGTTCCCAGGGGTGGGAGGGTGGGGGAGGGAACACTACGGAAAAAAATAAAAATGAAGAACATTGACCCATGTCACTTTAGTTTTGTGTATTTCACTGTGCATAAATTATATTTAGATAACACGCATTTAGAAAAAAAAATCTGACTGTAATGATACACACACAAAAAAAATTTGCCACCATTGGAAGCGACTTTTGTATCAACTCTTTATGCTGTACTTAAATCTAAACCAAATCCACTGCCATTGGATCAGTTCTGGCTCCTAGCTGTCCTATAGCACAGAGAAGAACTGCCCTGAAGGGTTTCCACTGTTGTTCACTTCCAGTTGTGAGAAAATTGTGTGTCAGTATTTCAGCTAATACATGTAGAAAGAGTTGTAAGAGTTTGAAAAGCTGCTAGTTTGTATCTAGGAGCTCTGCTGGCACTGTAGTTAAGGCATTGGGCTGTAAGCAGGTTAGCAGTTCAAACCCAACAGCCACTCCGTGGGAGGAAGAT